AAATGATCAGCGGGCTGCACTTTAGATCTGCTTTCCTGCCATGCTTTCAACCAAAAGGCAGATGACAAGCTTTGATGTGGTAGTTGGTTTTTGCTACTGAAGCTGGCATTTTATCTTCTTGCATCAGATTTTTTCCCAAACTGATGTGACCCAGGCATAGGAAACACATTTTTCTTCAGATTTTATTCCTAAAGCATGTTTTTACCATACCTTTAAATTATATTTGGCTGACCAATGATTTGGGATGGCTAAGGTTTCTCCCACAGGATGCAGAACAGAAGAGGGTGAGGGGCACTGGAGTTAACTGAAGCTTGCATGGTGAGTGCAAGGCCTTAGTGAATAGGGATCACCACATGCTGTCAGGTCCCCATGCTTTAGGATGGCACTTCAGTCCTTCTCCATTCTACTTCTAGTGCAACTTCAGCAGCCACATGAGGAGTCCAGAGTGAACTTCACACTAGAGGCAAGGTCAGGGCTACTGTTCTCTTTAACTCATATTTGAATGCACAGAGGGTATCCTACCTTAGGCCTTCTTTTCTCGGGAAGTTCTTCATATGTATTCTAACATTGTGATCCATTAGAAACACCCATCTTTTTAAATACCTCTTTCTTGTGTGTGTTCCTGGTGGTTTAAATAATTCGTGTATCCTGGAGCTGGTTTTCTAGTAAAGGATAAAAATGAAAGAATAATTACTACATTTGCAAAGGAATCAGACCACATAGCATTTTCCCTCTCTAAATCTGGTGACTATCTTATCTGATAAAGAAACACTGTAAAAGAATTTTTCCTCTGCAGGTAAAACTACCCAGAGACAAAAGACGATGCTCACAATATTACTTGCTATGTACTGTTAAAAAGAATAATTGGAATTCAGAAATTACTTGGTCCTTTAAAACCTCAAATAAGTCACTAAGGTTCTAATATTCTGGGACTGTTTCTATACCACGACACTACTGTAACTCTTTCAACTTTTACTGTAATGTAACATGTCAAGGAATCCTATCTCTTTTTAATGAAAATACCTGAATGCATTAAGGTGACAAAATATTTACATAGAAAGAATTGAACCATAACTTTTAAAAAGCATTTGATAATATGCATATATTTATAAATTTAGAGACTGGGAAATCAATATGAATTGGTGCTATCAGAAAAGTTTTATAGAGAAGGTAAAATTTTAGATGTGTTTTAGGAACAGAGAGATTTTAAACTTTGTCCTAAAGTGAAAATCATCTCCCATAATTGTGGGAGAAGATTGAAGATGGGGCATACTGCTAAGCTAAAATAACCCTGCACTTACTTAATTGATGAATCAAGGACTTACGGATACCATTGTAAAGAAAAATGCAGGAACATCTTGATCAAACTAGCTGTCTAGATGAGAATGGTTGCATTTTTTAAATGGCTATTGTGGTAGAAAGGACAACATGTGATACTCATTGACCCTCCTTCTCAGACCCTCTTTATAACAGCTAGTATGGAAAACTCTGTGTTTCCTGTAAATATTTTCCCTGGGTAATGGTTTCCAATTTTGTGTCAGATGCTTATTGTTTCTCTCTTGCACAGCATGTATGTTATCATTTGTTCTTAAGAGTGGAATGGAATTGGGAATTCTGGTTTCTAGCTCTGGCTACAGGTCCCAAGTCTGCACTGTGATTTTGGGCAAGTCACATTTTTCTAGATCTAATTTAACTCACCTGGAAAATAAGATGGTTGAATTAGACAATTTCATGGGTTTTATTAGATGCCAATATTTTATGACTCAAGATCCCAAGCAAGACTACACCTATTTATTAGGCTGTTTTGCTTGTTTTTACTAAGAGTGACAACATTTGCATATTTTCAGTTTCTTCAATCATCAAAAAAATTATAAAATACATAAATACCTTGGATTTGAAACATTGTGACTTTGATAAAAATGTATTCATATTTCCTCTGGTTATTCTGCAGCTTGCTGAATCCTTCCCATTTTAGAATGCCAAAGAATGAGATACATCCTAATATTGAATTAGATCTATCTTCAGACAGCATGTTTCAAAATCGACCTTCACTGTAGTTGTTTTTGCAAGAAAAAAATGATCCTCTTTAAACTGGTAAAAATACACTGCTTTCTCCCCCCTGTATTCAACCTGAGCCAAGAATCTGATAAATATGTTTATCACAGGTCCTTCAGATGCCCTGCATTTGTAAACCTCCACAGTGTTTATGTTTCCTTTCGTACTGCTGAAGATACTGTGCTGGGTCCTGTTCTGCATTCTTGTGGAAAAACGGGGAGCTCACACTTTGTGATTAGTGAGCAAAGACAGACAATCCCCAGGACTGCCACACAAGCTGTCTCCATAGCCCACTCATCGTCTCTTTCTATTATACTTGCACTCTGAAGGACATTTGCCAGAGCCAGACTCTGACCCCTGTTATTTGTGTCTTTTCTCACCTTCAACATCATCTGGACTAGTGTTTTCATTTGTTAAAAACAACAAGAACATTCACTGGGAAACTTCTGCTGGAATTGTTTCAGGTCATCATAGCTATTTATTCCCTGTCATAAACTATAATTCTCCATTTCCCTTACTCCCACGTCAAGGGAGTTGGTGGTTTATGGTGGACAGTCAGTGGAATTTGATTGGACAGTGGAATATTTCAAGGAACTACAGAGATTATGTAGCAGGTTGGAATACTAAGAACAAAACAAAAAATATTCTTGGTCTTGATCACAGTTGGCAGTACAAGAAAAAAATAGGCTTATAAAACAACAGAAAAGATTTACAATTTGTGCTTGCACATAAGAAAGAGTTTTCTTGAGAGAAGAAAACAAATCCTGGGATTGGCTTAATAGGGGATTTTCGCTATATGATTAAAAATAATGGCTTAGGGTCTAATTGGTCTCAGGTAAAAAACGGTATAGAATTTTTTTTTTTTTACAGACTTCTGTTTGGGGGGCATGAAATTCAGATTATTGTGCTATCACAAGGGCTTGTATGACCTAGAAAGACCTGAAGTACAAGACAAAACGATTTGGAAAAATGAATAGGAATGGGAGGAATGCTTTCAAATATTAAATAGAAAGGAGAATACAAGTGCAAGGTAGCTACTAAAAGGTATTTAATACAAGGTGTTTGAATTCTGTAGTGCTGACCTTATTGTGAACGAATTTTGCTAACAGCTAGTGGTATAATCAGTGATGTTAGTTGGAATATTTTAGGCCTTGGTAGATCCCAAAAATTATTATTAAATTTGCTCCATTTTCAAGATGCAGCTGATTTTACATTCTTACTGAGTGTTACAGATGTGCTACCAAGGCGGGGCCCCAAGATGAGGCACCACAAATGTAAAAAGCCAAAGAGAAGGCCTGCGCAAAACCATGAAGCAGAGAGAATAGTGTGGTAGCTTCTTGGCTGGAGGAATCTGGTTGTGATCATATGACATGTTTTTCTAAAGAAACAGTCTTTTAAGGACAAGAGAAGTTTCATGTTTTCTCTGAAAACAAATTCAACAAGCATTTACTATACCTGGGTGCTTTAATTATCAAGCGGAAATGTGCAGTTTCTATTCTAAGCTTCAAGGGTATTCCTTGTAAGGAAGCATTGATGAAGAAGGGGTCTCTTAGCAAAAAGACTTAGAGGCTCAGTTGTCAGGCATCTGAGCTAGGAGCTTCTGGATTTAAGCTACATTTTGACTCTGTACACAAATCTAGACCATTCCCTCAATTTGTAATAAGAACAATATTATAGCTGAGGTAGTTGTCATTGTGACTTGTACTAATAGTTTTGTTGAGTATGTTGTGTTTATAATTAGAGAGAATCAGAATTCATATATTAGAAGAGACAGCCAAGACTACTTTCTAAATAGCGAATGGCCAAGCTTTCCTTTCTCCCCATCCTCACTCCAACAACTCATACATTTCTTTTGGGAAAAGCTATGGAGAATATAAGTCCAGTTCATTAGATGGAGCATGTGACTTTGAGTTTTGACAGCATAGTGTTGCAAATCGCTGGGAGCTACACAGATTTTCTGCAGAGCTCAGGCCTTGGGGTGATAGTTTGATGGAGGTGTCAGCACAGCTGGTATTCTGCACAGTTTCACACATCCATCACTCCTGACTGGGCTGGGTAGGGGCAGCAGGATGGGAGCATACTTCTCTCTGACTGCTATGGACAACCTGGACAATTAGCTTACCACACTACCTTTACAGAAACTCAGAGAAAACCAAGGAAGAATTTTGACAGGTAAAAATGGAGTTGTGATTCTTCAAAGGTCTGTAAGATCTCAGGGTCCTAGAACTCAAGTTTGAGTGAAATGTTTTCAGGGATCTTTCTGAACTCTTTCCTGTTCTTCAGCCCCAGGCTAATGTTAGCTTGGGTTGATGGCACTGTAGCATTAGTCCTGATCTAGGCTGAGGCCTCTGAAGCCTGCCTTTGCAACAGCATGGAGCCTTGAGTGAAGGCTGTTAGAAATTACTTGCTGCTTCAAGGGGAGTGAATGGTAAAACAAATCCCTCTAATGTGGTTTGAGCATAGTGTCTTCTCTATAACTCTACATGTGTGTTCATGTATGTATGTTAGGAGAAAGGAACAAGGAGATAATTGATCTACTTGATTATTAAATAACATGAGTAAGCATAATATTTCCAAAGACAAATAAGGTACAAAACCATCTACTCTTCTTCCTTTATCTCTAGAGAAGTCCAGAGAACGTGGGCAGGGGTAAGATCTTCCTTGACAAACAGGCATCAAGGAGCATGCAAGTACTGTCTCTCTGACAGTTTAGGTCTTGTCCCAGATTTAAAGGCAACAGCCAAGCATTAGAATTGCTGGAATTCTTGACATACGAACTTGAGAGCACTAATGCCCACATTTGCACATGCAAAGTGGCATTTGGCTATAGGACTCTGATAAAGATGTGAGCAAATGAAACCATATCTCACTATAGATATATTGTTAAAAAAAAAAAAAAAGTCTTAAGTGGGACTCCTACAGTGAATTTGGCTTCTTTTCATCAGTGTATTGTATTCCAGCTGATCAGCTGAACTCAGAGGAAAAAAAGAAGAGAAAGCAGCGAAGGAATAGGACAACCTTCAACAGCAGCCAGCTGCAGGCTTTGGAGCGTGTCTTTGAGCGGACACACTATCCTGATGCTTTTGTGCGAGAAGACCTTGCCCGCCGGGTGAACCTCACTGAGGCCAGAGTGCAGGTAACTCAAGCTGTGGGAGGCTGGCACCAAGGAGTCACCTCCTCAGAGGCACATCTCTGAAGACTATTTAAAAACACATGTTATGGCCCAGCACGGTGGCTGCAGGCATGGTGGTGTGTGCCTGTGGTTTCAGCTTCTTGGACAGCTGAGGTGGGAGAATCACTTGAGCCTGGGGGACAGAGGTTGCAGTGAGCTGAGATCATGCCACTGCACCCCAGCCTGAGTGACAGAATGAGACCCTGTCTCAAAAATAAATAAATAAATAATACACAAGTTATAGGCTTCATATGGGACCTGGTACTTGTAAGAGTTACAGATGGTCAGCATGCGGATAGAATCCTGTTTACAGCTATGTTTCTTTGGGCAGTGAGGTTTTTTGGGGTTTTGTTTTTTTGTGTTGGAGTTTCGCTCTTGTTACCCAGGCTGGAGTGCAATGGCACAATCTTGGCTAACCGCAACCTCCGCCTCCTGGGTTCAGGCAATTCTCCTGCCTCAGCCTCCTGAGTAGCTGGGACTACAGGCACACACCATCATGCCCAGCTAATTTTTTGTATTTTTAGCAGAGACAGGATTTCACCATGTTGACCAGGATGGTCTCGATCTCTCGACCTCGTGATCCACCCGCCTCCGCCTCCCAAAGTTCTGGGATTACAGGCGTGAGCCACCGTGCCCAGTCATGGGCAGTGAGTATTTTTAAAAATAAAATTCAATGCCTTCAGGTAGGGCCGAATAATCCTTGCTACAGGTTCCTCTCCCCGCACCCCTTTGTTTCTGACCCTTCCAGATTTATGTGATATACATTGTCCATCTGAGCATTTTAATCTGCACCCTTAGATTTCAATTTGAGCTTGATAGTGTTTAAAGAGATGAATTCTCTGTCCCCTACCTCAGTTCTCCTCTCCAGTCTTCAAGAACCTTGTCATAAGTACACATGATTATGAGCACAGATGGACTGGGAAATGAATACTCAGGAACTGAGTTAAGAGCACACTCAAGTGGATGATTTTGTTTACCCTCAAAATCTCTCTGTGAACTCAAAATGAGTAAGAACATGAAAGGCAGGATAAAGAGAATAGCCATTCTTTCTAACATTATTGCCATGACACACCAGCTGCAAGCCAGACATCTGGAACAAGATATAACTTGTGATCAACAGTTGTAACAATACCAATATTTAATAACTAATACTACTTGAGCCCTTATATGGCCAGTAGTGTTCTTTACATAAGCGATTTATTTCATCCTCACACCCATTCAATGATGCGGATAGTATTCTTCATTTTGCAGATGAGAAAACTGAGGTACAGAGAGGTTATTTTGCACACCATCACATAGCTAGGAAGTATCTGAAACAGGATTTAAATGCAGATATGCAGATCCAGAGTTCATGCTGTTAATCACTAAAAAAAAAAAAATAAGTAAAAAACAAAAAACTGAATGAATGAGAGTCTCCTGGCGAAATACTTTTTCCAAGCAGTACTTTGCTGTCTCTGCTGAAAGATCTTACTGTCTTCCATATTGCCAGTAGCAAGATGCTGTCTTGATAAGGTGGGTAGGTCCAATCTGTCTTGCCTTCCTTCTGAAATTGTTGTTTATATATCTGTGTTCAGTCTGAGTGTTAAGAATTTCTTTCTGTGAATGATAACCTTCTTGACAAGCTGGAACTTGAGCTAGACCCCAAGGTAGATTCCTACCTTGTTGATTAGGGTCTGTGCCCATACAGGAGGCACAGTACACAATGGGAGACAGCTGTGGAGTTGATGCGGAGATCCTGGTGCTCCCTTCAGCCTGAAGAGAAAGCATGGAAGCTTCCCCATGGGGAAAAAGGGACCTCACCAAGAACTGCTCCCCAAGAGAAAAAAGAAAAATGTCAGTGACAAAAGAAGAAAGTCATGGGAGCCTGTGGGGCCCCTGAGGGTAGGTTAGGAGGAAGTGTGAGTGAGGGTGCCCCTTTGGGCTCAACTGAGAGTGACCCATAGGGACAACACTCACACTCAGTTTTGCTCTCCCATTCACCATCCAGTGCAGATTATGAAATCTGTCTCACACACCTTCTTCCCCCACACTGCTTACTGCAAATCTCTAACTCTGCTCTTAAATCCTTTCCCCTCTCCTCACACATGCCATGTCTCTTATGCCCCACCTCAGCCTTTTAGTCCAGTAACCCACAGCACACTACTGTGCCACTTTTGCTATAATGATCTAAATTTTAAATAAGGAAACCTGCAGCAGACAATGGTGGACATTTAAAAAAAAAAGTGAAAGATCAGTTTGGGGGTTGGGGGACTGTCTCACCCCTATCATGACAGGGAAATGCCTTTCTAATATGTTGGAACTATTTTTTCTTTATCTTTTCCCACCTTGCTATGATTTAACGACTTTTAGAGCTGTGAACATTTCCTAAGTGAGTAGGACAGAGTTCTCCCTTCTTGACTTTATTCTTCCCACATGAAAGCCTTCTTTTTCCCCGTCTGAACCAATCCCTTCTGACTCTGGTCTTCTTTATATTTACGGCATTTATCATAATATGAAATGTATAGAGTTGTTGTATCTGGGCCAACTTCCCCCACAGGACTGAGGAGGTCTCTTGGATGAAGGCCATGTTTTATTCATCTTTGCAAAAATTTTTTTTTCTTTTTCCTTTTTTTTTCCTCAAACACTTATCAAGCACATATTATACTCTTGAACCCGGTTTTGGCTTGCTGGGGATAAATAAGACACTGACCTTCTCCTTAAGGATGTCTGGACTGGAACAGAGAAGAGAGATGTGCAAACCATACACTTACGATATTATAATATGATTCCTATATCAATGGAATGTACAATAATTAGTGATAGACCAGATGAAGGAATGATCTAATCTGCCTGGGGAAAAGGGAGAGAATTTATATTTATTAGGCACCCATTCTGGGTCAACTCTCAAAACTATCCTGTAAGTTAGATATTATTATGATCTCCAATTGATTAGGAGACAAAGGAGCAGAGAACTTAAACAACTCCCAGGACAAAACTTGAAAGTAGTGTAGCCACTATTTTTATCCAACTCTGTTAGACTTTTAAGTGATGTTCAATGTTAGAGTTAAATTTTGAAAAAAATATATGGGCTTTGACACCTGGACAAAGAGGGGAAGAATATGATAGACATATCTGGTGTGATATTTTTAGGTGGGAAATAGCCTAACACATTTGGGAGTCCACAGATAATCTTGAGCACAGGGTAGGAGCTGGAGCCATAGGGGACCAGTGCATGAGGTTAGAGTGATGTGGCTTGGGGCTGGATCAATGGACAAAGAGCTAATTCCTGAACAGCCTTTGTTCTATGGTAAAAAGTTTCTATTTTATTTTGTGAGTAATGGGGAGTCAGTAGATTATATAAAACAAGGCATTAATGTGATTACTTGAACATTTAAGATGATAGCTCTCACAGCAATGTGAAGGCACATTAGAAACAGAAGAGCCAGGAGTCTGGGAAGACAAGTCCAGATTCCACCTTGGCCAACTTCCACCCAGGCCCTTCATGCTGCCAGCTCTACAGGACACTGATCACACGGTATTTTATGTGTATGTTGTCCCCTAGAGCTATACAACTGCTCACTCCACAAAAATAATTTTCTTCTCCATTACCTTGTTATACATTTCTGTAATTGCACTTAAAATACTTATTTTGCAGTTTTTCAAATTTTACATGTCTTCCTTTAATAGCTTGTGAGCTGCTTAAAAGCAGAGAATAAGTTTCTCATCTCTCTCCTTCCAGCATTTGATATAGGGCTTAGACCATAGCAGGCACTCCATAAAGATTTCCTGAATGAGTAAAATTCCATAGCATTCTAGAAGAGTTATATGATCATGAGATGGATGTCCTTGAGTTCAAAAACTCAGCCATTTATTATTTATGTGAATTTCAACAGATTACAGTCACACAGTGCTTAACAGTGGGGATCTCTTCTGAGAAATGAATCTTTAGATAATTTTGTCATTGGACAAACATCATGGAATCTACTTCCACAAATCTAGATGGTATAACTGACTGCACACCTAGGCAATGGGGAATAGCCTATTGCTCTTAGGTTACAAGCCTGCACAGCATATTACTGTATTGAATAGTGTAGGCAATTGTAATAACATGGTAAGTATTTGTGTAGCTAAACATATCAAATAGCAAAAATGTGGTATTATAACTTAATGAGACCACCATCATATATGAGGTCCATCATAAGTTCCTTGTAGATTCTGGATATTAGACCTTTGTCAGATGTATAGATTACAAAAATCTTCTCCCATTCTGTTTGTTGTCTGTTCATTCTGGCATAGTTTCTTTTTCTGTGCAGTAGCACTTTAATTAGATCCCATTTGTCAATTTTTGCTTTTGCTGCAATTGTTTTTAACGTTTTTGTAATGAAATCTTTGCCCATGCCTATGTCCTGAAAGGTATTGTCTAGATTTTCTTCTAGAGTTTTAGAGTTCTGGGTTTTATATTTAAGTTTTTAATCTATCTTAATTTTTGTATATGGTATAAGGAAGAGTTTCAGTTTCAGTTCTCTGTATATGCATAGCCAGTTCTCCAAGCACCATTTATTAAATAGGGAATCCTTTCCCCATAGCTTGTTTTTGTCGGGTTTGTTGAAAATCAGATGGTTGTAGATGTACAGTCTTTTCTGAGTTCTCTATTCTGTTCCATTGGTCTCTGAGCATGCTTTTGTACCTGTACCATGCTGTTTTGTTTACTGTAGCCTTGTAGTATAATTTGAAGTCAGATAGTGTGATGCCTTCAGCTTTGTTCTTTTTGTTTAGGATTGTCTTGGCCATGCAGGCTCTTTTTTGTTCCATATGAATTTTAAAGTAGTTTTTTCTAATTGTGAACAATGTGAATGGTAATTTAATGGGAATAGCATTAGATCTATAAATTACTTTGGGCAGTATGGCCATTTTCATGATATTGATTCTTCCTATCCATGAGCATGGAATGTTTTCCCATTTGTTTGTGTCCTCTCTGATTTCCTTGAGCACTTCAAGTACTTCTCCTTGAAGAGGTGCTTTACTTCTCTTGTTCGCTATATTCCCAGTTATTTTATTCTCTTTGCAGAAATTGTGAATGGGAGTTCATTCACGATTTGGTTCTCTGCTTTTCTGTTCTAGGTGTATAGAAATACTTGTGATTTCTGCATACTGACTTTGCATCCTGAGATTTTGCTGAAGTAGCATATCAGCTTAAAAAGCTTTTGGGCTGAGACAATAGGGTTTTCTAGGTATAGGATTACGTCATTGGCAAATAGAGACAGTTTGACTTATGTAGCAAACCTACATATCCTGCGCACATATCCTGGAACTTATAAAATAAAGTAAAATAGAAAATAAAATGTTTTTATTTCTTTTTGATAGGTTTATTATTAGCTGTCAGCTGTCTGTCAATGCTGCCCATTTCCCTTGAACCCTACAATTAGGTATAGTCTTGTCAGCTTCCAACTTTTAGTCTCCACATTTCTGTGCCAGCAGTGTCTTTGTAGAATTTCAGGAGACGGCCCTGCCTCCACATTCCAGATGTGCTGGAACATTAATAGCCAATGGCTGACAGGATCCAGCATACACACACCCAGCTCCATCACCCCCGAGAAGGATAACTCTGAAGTGTGTGTCCTACATTAGTCTTAGTCTTCAACATCTCTGAATGGGATTGAGCCACCACAAAGACAACTGGTTTAGCAGCACACTCTTTAGTGATTACCTTGTCTTCTCTGTTACTTCTTCACTCCTCTAATGGTGTTCCTTGCACCTCCCAAATAAAACACTTTCTTCTTAAATCTTTGTTGGAACATCTACTTTTGGGATATGGGGAATTTTCTTAAAATATCAAATAATTATTATGAAAGCAGATGCGATTTTCACATTTTGAAGAAAGAATTTTGAAAAAGCTTTTAGAAAAGTCATTATTTCTGTGGCAGAAGTCTAATGAGATTTTTCTTCATTTTTCTTGATTACAATTGTAACAGGGATTATAACCCATATTTTGCTGTCCTGTGGGTCAGTCACAGATTTCATCTCTGGAGACCTGATTACTGGAGAATTTTATGGTCCTGTTAGAGTAGCCTTGACCTTTAAGAAGGGCCCTCATAAGGGAAGGAGTATGGCATATTTCTATTGTTCTAAGGAGAATTCCATAGCCGTCTTATATCTTCCTTTGGAAGGTGTTATATAGTAAAATCAACCAGAATTTCGTTCATGTACCCCCTTCTTCCTTGTTTTTCCTCTTTCCTCATGCCTTCTCTCCTCCTAACAATTTTCCAGGTATGGTTTCAGAACCGAAGAGCCAAGTTCCGCAGGAATGAGAGAGCCATGCTAGCCAATAAAAATGCTTCCCTCCTCAAATCCTACTCAGGAGACGTGACTGCTGTGGAGCAGCCCATCGTACCTCGTCCTGCTCCGAGACCCACCGACTATCTCTCCTGGGGGACAGCGTCTCCGTACAGGTGAATGACTGGCCCACTCTCCCTTGCTCCACTTCCACTGTTTCTCAGCGGTTGGTCATGTTTCAAGCTGCTTGTGCAGGTCACTGACATTTCTAACTGGGTTCATCTCTTCAGAGACATTCAACTTGCTGGCATCCCCACATTTTCCCAGGAGATTATTAGCTGCCCCAGGAGCAGGGTTTGGGGTGGAAGTGAGAGGTGCAGGCTATCTCAGCAATCTCCTCTTGGACTCAGGAACTCTTGGAAAGATTTCAAAGATGAGGAAGAATCTAAAAGAAAAGACCATTAAGCTATGCCCAGTGTCCCTCTTGCGACCATTCTGGAACAAAACTTTACCCTGTTTCCAAATTTAAGATAAATTTGTTGTATTATGCAAATGTAGGGACTTAACGTGTAAGGCTCCAAGTATAGGGCCAAAGGCAAACTTTGCAGTCAAACTGACTTTGAATTTAAAAAAGAGAAGGAAGGAAGGAAGAAAGGAAGCAGATAGAGAGGGACTATAACTGAAAGAGAAGGAAAGAAAACCCAAGTTAATTCTGATCATTTTCATGGCCAAGGTTCTTCGTTAGTAGTTGTGAATTTCTTATAATGCCAAGTGCCTTCCTTATCTATTGCTAATTCTTGTCTACTTGTCTGAAAGTTTCTTTGGGGGTCAGTTTGTGTGTATTTGTGTGTATGCATGTGTGTGTGTATGTGTGTGTTTCTTTTAAATAAAGGAATGTATAATTTACACTAAACTTTTATATTAAAAAGTTGAACATTTTAAAGAAACAAATAACAGAGTACTATTTCAATCTCATAGAGAGGCTTTTAACCTCCAATTATTATCCTGTTCAGAAAATATAGGCTAATGCCAGAAGGGAAGCTGAGACACGAGTGCCTAACCCACTGGATTAGTCTAGAGTGCCTTTCTTTTGATTAGTCTAGAGTGCCTGTCTAGTCTGAGTACTCTGAGAAACAAGGTCAAGCCTATGTGTTCTCCCTGGCTGATTTTAGTGGAGGAAGATCTATTCACAAATTCATTTATTATGCTTTTGTTTACCTTTTTATTGTCAAGGTTATTTATTGGCTTAAGGAGAGGTTTTAAATGAAATATAAAAGATTATGTCTCAGATGAAGTTGAACTCCTGACGTGAAATGCCACATTTTGAAATGCAAATGTTTTTCAAAGGTTGACAGCTTTAATCAAAGGAAAAAGCCTCATCTAACAGTTTCTTCTGTTCTAAATCAGTTCCTTTAGAGAAACACAGTAAATGCACTTGGAAATTTCTTTTATATCTCCTGTTATAAAATTAGCCTGAATTCTTTTGGTCTTAGTACATAGAAACCCAGTGTCTGGGGAAGTCTTATTCTGGGCCCTGTTGCGCTCAGATGTGGTATGCCTTGCTGAGCTTGAAACATTAGTTATATCTGTGTGCCCTATTTTAAATTTAAACTCCTCTCCTATAAGATTTACTAAAAACACATTTTTTAAAGACCATTGTGAAATCACATATTCTCTAATATTTTAAGTAAATGGAAGGCTGCTTTATTTCTCTTATATATATTGGTATAAGAGAAATTTAGTGTGTTCAAGAACATGGTTAATGGATTGGAAAATGGGTGTGGTTCAAAGCCTGATGTTTCAAGATCTCTGGTTTGAATTTGATCACAACCAAGAAGTATTGCTCCTTTTTCTGTCTGGGTCCTCCATAAGAACTTTTCACACCAGCCATAAATAAGCCAGATGGCTGCCACGTGGTCCTTACCAGTGAGAGGCTGCACACAGCACACTGCGAATGGGGATGAAATCCTTCCTGAATTAATATAGGGTTCAGCCATATGAGCCTCAGTGTCTGCATCATATGTGTTTAGCATATGGACATCTAACTGAAATATTAACATGGCAATTTATGTGTGCCTTTTTTGGAAATATTCTATTTTAATGGAAAGAATTATGTAGAAATACTGGATACATTTTTAAAAAACATCCATAATTTTACCATCTTGACATAAGGAGTATATTCATTTTTGTGATTAGAGTTCAATATTTTATATAGGTATAGCCTTAGTGTATATATTATTTTGTATCCTGCTCTTTTCACTTAAAATCATATAACCTAGTACGTTTTACTCATTTCATGGTATGCTTTTATGTCATTTCTCTCTTAGAAATGGAATTTGTAAAAATTAAACATCATAAAATCTGATTGTTCATATTCTGTATGAAGAATGAATTAATACTCAGATATAAGTAGAAAAGTGATGTTAAAGCAATAACTTAATCAATGACAATGTTTTTTGATTGAATGTTGACTGAAGTGTTTATATTTTGGTTAATTTCTCAAAGTAGCACAAAGCTATTCTGTTACTTGGAGAATTTTCTACTATGTTTACAACCAAACTATGTTATGATTTCACACTTTGAAGCTTGATAGGAAATATATTTAAGGAAATAAAAAAGAAAAACAAGTGATTCAAAGCAAAGGAAATGATAGACCTTTTGTATTACGAAAAATTAACTCACTGTTGTTGTTGGTGCTATTACGTCAAGTTAGTTACCTCACATACAACACTAATTAAAAGGCATTACTCTTGGTTAATTCTTGGAACACTCCTGTGTGATAGCTCTGTCTTGCTCTGCTTCCAAAGAAGAGACTAAATATTTGCCCAAATTTAAGCCTTCAGCAAGCAGAATTAGAACTAATGCTTGGGATCCCTCTTTTAATACAGCATATTAAGCCACATGACTGTATTTTCATTCAAATTAAACCTTCCATTGTATCGAAAATAGTAAAAAACATAAGATTGGAAAACTGTCTGAAATCCCCTTTTTATTCAAGAGCTATCTTAGATCAGTGAGGCATGCCTGCAGCTGAGGTCCACGCTCTGTGGGGTGTGGGCATACCATTGGACTGATAGATGTGGCTTGGTCATACAAACCAGGGACAGTGAGCAGACAGTTTTGCCAGAAAGGATAGTTTGCTGACTTCCACAGTTATTCTCTGAAAAAAGAAAGGAGAAAACCAAAGCACAAAAGCAGTTATTTGCATATGGTCAGAATTATAGGTTGGAAAATAGCCAACACATTTTTTTTCTAGGTGTCTTTTACATCCAGAGTGGTAGCTGTATAATTTATTGTTCAAACTGGGATTTTCTTAGAGTGAAAGGGGAGTGCTATTAATAATTATACTAAGACAACATGTATAAGCCAGATTGCCTCTGGTAAACTGGGACATATAGTTTGCTCTAATTATAGCATGTCATGACCTCACTCATTCCCTTGAGCATGTTAGAGGTGATGACATTAGGCAGGCAACTGAGTCATCAGGGAGACAAAGCGTTCCCTAACACAGACACTGTTGTCCTGGCAGGTGTCTTCTTTACCCATCCGTGGCCAGTTAAAGGAAGCTCGTTTTTACACACACCCATTGCTTAACTCGGAACTATTTTTCTTAGGCAAATTGTAAGAATGAAAGCACATACAAGCACCAGAATTATTCAGACTCACCACGCTTGCAGTGCTTTACTTCTTGGGTAGCAGTGATCAACCAAGTCCTGAACTTTTGACTGTTATTTGAGCTGAAGTAGCCAAGAAACATTTTCCCAGAGACATCCTTTCCTAGATGAGGTGGATAGTGAATGGCCTGGTTTTGCAGCATTGACCTGAAGTGCCATTTCCAGAGGGAGGGCTGGGCTTAAAAGAAAGCTAGTGATGAGTGAAAGAGAGGCCAACTATCCCTGTCCAAAGCTTCCCTCCCCATCCTTCTCCCCACCTCATTTGATCGTGGTCATGGTGCTGCCTGACATCTGCTGAACGCATTTGGCTTATTTCTCCCTTTCACACTTTCAAAAATAGATCCTCGTCCCTCCCAAGATGTTGTTTACACGAGGGGCTTCATAACGGATTCTAACGGAAGACACTGAAAAGGTAACTTGTCAGAGGGGGAAGAGGGCGGCTGCTTGGGGTAGGGTTTAAGTGGGAATTGAGAGTGTCTAAGAAAGTGGGGTTTGCAGTTCTGGAAATTTCAGCAGTGAAGCCCTCAAGTGAGGAATACTATTGGGAAGCAGAGCTGCAAGAAAGCATGTCCACAAAATGAAGTGTAGTATGATGCTAGTCTAGAGCAGGGCTCTTCAGAGATTGCTGTGCACAGGAAGTATCTGGGATCATGTGACTGTGCAAACTGATTCACTAAGTCCAGGGTGGAGCTTGGATTCTGTATCTCTAACTTGCTCCTAGGTGATGCTGATGCTGCTGACACTTGGTACACACTTTAAATACTGAGGCTTTTTAGGTTACAGGACAGGGTTTGGAAGAACTATGTTCTTGTCCTGGTTTCTGCTGCTCAGTGAGGTCATTGTTCTCTTATGTAGCTTTGTATCTAACATGAAGCTAGCACTAGCTTCCCCATTGCTTATTTCACAGGGGTGTTTGGAACCTACCAATGAGCAATGTGCACTTCAAAAAAAAATCTTGCAACAATAGAAAGATGCAAGAGGCTTTATATATGAAAATATTTCTAAAATGAAAAGTTAAAAATAGCAGAAAAATCACTGAAAATATAGTACAAACTGAAAGCTTACCAATGAAATGTATGAGTGTGTTCACTTTAAGAGATAAATATACGTATTAGAAAATCAACTTCTGAATTTCAAAACAGAAGTTAGAAACAGAAGTTAATTATTTACATCACAAAAGATCCCTTTCAAGAGAATTTACCAGATCTCTTTTTAAAAGTAAATTTCCCTAGGAAAACTGGTATTACATTTTGTCAGGTGAAGCAAGTAAACCTCCGTTGTTCTTGCACTGACGAAAGAACTAACCAGAGAGACTTTCTGCAGCTTCTATGCATCACATCTTGAACACCATAAACCCTACAGTCTTTGAAAAAATCCTGAGCTGGTGAAACCCAAGGACTTCAGAAAAACTCATAGACTTCTTAGGCTGACAGATTTGTCTTTAGGGTGAAATTTTAAACATCTTGTTATCATTTGTTCAAAGGGCCAAATAGAAAACAAAGAGCTAAAAATGAGTCAGGTATTATTTTTTCCCCAAGCTATCAATTGTTTTGTGATTTGTAGGACTTAACACTATAGGTTTTTAGAAAGCAGAGGGGCAGTTGTTCGTAAGTTTCCTGAGTTTAAAATCATAGCACAAATAGTATTTTCTGTACTTCCTCAATATTTGGTAGTCATTTTAACATATTATTTTCCCCTCACAGCTTTCAGGGTAGGTTGAAATGATAAAAAATGATTTGTCCCCAGTGAAAACAGTACTCTAACCCTGCTGGTGGTTAGCATTCTGCTATCTATGGCTGTGCTGCATCTGCTGGAAATCTCCAAATAAGGAGATGGAAACATTTGAAGCTGATTTAAATGTGTCAGCTCTGTGTAAGTCCCAGTGCAAGACTAGCTGAGTCAACAGATGGGATCAAGCATTTATTATGAATCCCTAATTTCTCAATGCACTTTATTCAGTAATGTGGTTTCTTGGTCACCGACACAAAGAACTTTACTAAAACTAACTAAAAATGGTTCTTTAGCCAAAGCCTAGAAACTCAGTCCCAGGACTCAGCTTATGTCTATACCCTACTTCCAAGAATAAATGGGTTTTACTTAGAAGGCCAGACCGACAGGCAGGATCTCTGATGCTGTTAAGCAGGCTCTTGGTTGTTGTCATGTGCTTAATCTGTAGAGATCACTTAGTTTCAATCTCCCCATTTTATCTGAGCAAGCTGAATCCTGTAGAGGAAGGACTGGTCATTTTACCTGCTCTGAATGGCTCTATAAATTGGTTGAAAACAGTTAATTACCCTCATTGGACCTTTAAGAAAACATTTCAGCGTTGTTTTTCTTTTCCTAAAGCAGAACTTTAGAAGTTTCCATGACATGGAAAGCAGATGGTCATGAACAATTTCATATTGGCAGCCGCTCAAGGCTCTCTTGCATCTGTTGACACTTTAGGAGACAGGTCCTTTCCATCTTACTTCTAATGCCATATTTGAAGAATGACTAAGCTACTCTTAGAGTAGTCACTTACTAACTCTGCCTTTTCTGACTTGTAATAGTAAGTTTTGCTTTTCACTGGTGTATCCAAGGACTGCTCACTGCTTGCCTATATGGCACCCTTAGCATAAACTGAGAAGCTAGATCCATGTCAAATTACTGGAAAACAGACTTGCAATTATTTAATATGCGCCCAAAATATTACTGGAATCCCTATTTGTAGGATTACATATTCTAAACTTTTGTTAAGAGGCTGTGAATTAAGATGGCTTCAGTTCTTTTAGCCTACTTCTTATGGCTATGGAATGCTGGAACAAATTTGGAAAGTTTATATATTTCCTAAGCATTTATCAAGTGAAGATGTTATCACCTATCAAGCTCCTAGGGAATTGCAAAATTCATTCATTAAAAACAACTGCTTTTTAATCCTCAAGCTCCACTAATTTGAGGGATACCTATAAGGCATTGTCACAGACTTGCCTTTGGTGGTGTTCTTATAGTAATGTCACCATATAGTCAGACAAGGGCATTGTTCTTTCCTGTGGAAAATCAGGCTGCCATTTACGTGAAAAATGTCCCTGTGAATGTCCAATCTCCCATGCAATCCATGATCTTAATTCCCATTAATTTGTGTTTGAGATAGAAAGTGCATCAACATTCATCTCATTTGGGGTATTACTGTCTTGCCTACACTCACAAGAGAAACTCAGTATTTCCAAGAAATGTGTTCCCTACTAAGTCCTCAGACTAGAGTATCAGGTGGTAAAGGTAGTTGACTCTGAAATCGCTACAACAAAAATGGTCATACAATAGGCTACTTGTAGTCACTACTATGTAGACATTTCTGGGAAACAGCAATAGTATCTTCAGTAAACTAAAATAATCTCCCCAAGGTTCCAATCTTCCTTTTCAGCTAAAGCGATGGAATACAACTTTGATTATCTAAGAAAGAGCAAATTTTTGTTAAATAGGACTTTGCTTGTCCAGAATCTCAAAAAAAAAACAACAAAAAACGCATCCCTCGGAAAATTAGACCACGTACTTAAGAGCACAATATTCTATGACAATCTACAACTTAGAATCAGAGAATTTTTATGTAATTTTAGCTTTCTGTTTTCACAAGCCATCCAAATTTATTTCTCAATACTTAGCAAATAATACGGACAACTCCTAATTCCAGTTTCTCTTCTATGTGTTTAAAATTATACAACTGTGCATCATCTTTAGGGCTTAATTCTCTCACAGAAAACTGATTGAGAAAGGTTGACTTGGTTGATTTTATAATAAACTATGACTTAGGAACATTTCCCAAATCCAATAATCTTTTCTTCTCAGCTACTTAGATATTTGGGCTCTTGGCATATCCTAGAATTTTTTTGAATGTAGGTTTTGTGGGTTTACATACATTTGTTGTAAGGTCTTGAATGGAACCATGAACTAAATGATAATATGTATATGGATTTTGAAAATAAATGACATTTCTTAGTACATTCTAAAAAAAAAAAGTCCCACTTCAGTGAATTGTTCTTAAACCTATCTTAACTGGGAACTCTTCTGCTTCTATCACTATCACTGGGTAGAAGTGATAGTCTATTCTAAAAGTCTAGATTGTCCTAATAATTTCTTCAGTTTTTATTGTGGAAGATATTTTTTGATGGATCCAAGTACACACAGTCATCAGCTCCTGCTTCTGTCATATGCTACTGACTTTGCTCTTTCTATTAAGAGAGTAAAATTGACTTTAAGGACCAGATGCTATGAATAAAAGCATAGTGGTAAGATTTTTTTTTAAGAGATTATTACTCGTAGCAAAATGACAGAAACCAATGACATAGACAGGAATCAATTTAATCATACTATATCTAACTATTTTTAGTTACCTGTCTATTCACTGAACATACAGTACCAGATATGGTGTCATCTCTACCTGAGGATACACCTGTGAGCAAGGCTGATGTGGTGTATGATCTATGGAGCTCATAGTTGAAACAGTGATAGATACTAAGCAAATTAGCTAAACTTGAATTAAGTGCTAAAAGCAAAAGTTCGGTGTGCTGTAAAAGAACCTAACGTTGTCTAGAGGGTTGAGACCATCCACCACAAAATGATGAGTAAGAACGAAGCACGCAAAAATGAAATAGAAGAAAGTAGGATCCCTTTGTGGCCTTTCTGAGTCTTTCTCCTTGTGTCAGAACACATACATGCATGTGTGTAAACACATACACAATCGCCCATACACTTAACCAGGGCTATAAAGATTTTTAATTAAAGATGTGTATTTCTGGAAAGACCTAGTGATCTGGGACTCATTATATTTCTTTAACTTAATTTTCTTGAGTTAATTATTAGTAGCTGAGCTGAAATAGGTTATTATGAATTCTGACTACGTTGTGTCCCAAATAAGTATCAATGATATATTCTATTTGTGGAGTAGCTTTACTTTTCTCTCTTTCTGATCTTGTCACTTGATCCCCAGAACCACAAACTCTAATGTGGCTGACAAAATTCCATTGGAATGCAGGCAACAGAAGAGCACATGTCATTCCATTTATAAGTCTATCTCATGCCAGCCCTCAGTTGAAAGGGATTTTGCTAATCTTAGAAGCAACTAGAAACATTTTTAATTAATTAAAATGAGTATACTTTTAACTATATAGTAGAAAGAGTAATTTGCTACTAAGTCTATGAAACCGTTTCTTTTTCTTTTAACAGAGATTCATGGATACAATTAACAGAAACCCACCAATGATAAATTTCTGCCTAGCAGTGTTCTCAGGTCTTAATTATAATCTCTGGCAATGAAAAACAACTTCAGATCTTTCTCAGCAATAAGGACAGTGAGAAACAGTTACCTCTGAGGTCAAGAATGCTGAAAATGGAGCCTTTGATAGTTTATCTAGGAGATTTAAACATTTCCAAAATAACTGACCCAAAAGGCAGAGTGTGCTATTCAAGTTCTTCTGAAGAGAGGTTATAAAATCAAGGCCAGTGGGTTAGTAACCTCTTGATTCAGCAATGCTTGGTGCTATCAACCAATAAATCAAGAATGGCAGAGAACTTATCTTGGATTGTTTAACTGGTTCTCCATGCACATTATTTATTATGGCATTTGTTGATTATTTAAAATGTGTTAGAATTAAGGTCACCTAACTAGAGTGAAGGAGCAAAATTCCCTTTAATTTATTTTCAAATGCTTGTTTCTATTCCTCACTGCTCCTACAGGCTGGGGAGGTAGGCATGAAGAGAGATTAAATAGTGTTTTAATTAGTCAGCTGATGAAACACCTGCTATTCAACTTGAGCAACTTTCTTCTCTTACCCCAGAAATAAATCATTACTCACTGTTACCAACACAACAAATACCTCTCCCTCCCTTTCCTCACTCTACATCACTTTCTCCTGCTCTTCAAAACACAGCCACTCTTCTCTAAGTACCTTAGATGAATGGAAAGCTGGGGCTGTAAGGGATCCTAGAGGCCATCTAGTTCAAGCCATTGCCCCTGCCTGCCCCCATGCTGAGAGTACATCCATCTGGGGCACGGACTTGCAGATTTGTGAAACTAATGCCTGTTATTCTCCCTGCTCTCTCCTTTGTCCCTACAGCGCCATGGCTACTTATTCTGCCACATGTGCCAACAATAGCCCTGCACAGGGCATCAACATGGCCAACAGCATTGCCAACCTGAGACTGAAGGCCAAGGAATATAGTTTACAGAGGAACCAGGTGCCAACAGTCAACTGAGGAAAAAAATAATTAAACAGGCCTAAGAAGAAATCAAAAACCATAAGACACCTATCCCGCTCTGTTATTTCTTCATCTGCTGGGGAAAAAAAAGTAAATCACAAACAAACAAAAAACAGAACTAAAACATTGGGACCATGGCAGAGAAAAGCAGGAGAGGAGCAAAATGAAAATTAGTTAACAAATGTTCTTCCTCCCTCTGGGATACCACCACCACTTGTTTCTGTGTGTGTTTATTTTGTTTTTCTTTCTATTCATGCTTTGCTTAATATACTCCAAGCTTCTTCAGCTAGGTTCAGCCCACCCACCCCCATGATTGTATGAAGTTATTTTAAAAACTACAGCAGCCAAAGAAACCATGTATATATATATATAAATATCCAGAATGATTGCCTCTAGTCTCTTCATTGACTTGTTTGAAGCTGAGTGCCTCACCTGTCATCTTCCCAGTTCTCTTCATAGAAGCTCTAGGAGCTTTTGAAAAGCCAAAGTCTTTCTGAAGAATCTGTACCAGACAAACATAATTCCCTTTCTCATTGTCCCCATCTTTGTTGGTCATGGTAAGGTTTTCCCATCAGCCTCTGAAAAAAGTGTTGTGCACAACATCTGGTCACTGGACTGTCTGAACCAATGAAATTGGCTGTGTCTGGCAAATTCTAAGTACTAAGCTCTACATCTAAGCTATATATTTATGCTTGAAGCTATAGATTATATCACTATCACCACCACCCCTCACCCCACACAATCAATCAATTATCTTTAAAGATATTTGTTGTTTTTAAATGATTTGCTATCACAGACCATTTGGTAGAAGAAATATTTTTCACATGAGAGAGGAAGAGAAATTTCTCTAGAAACACAAAGAGTGAGTCGTAAAAGCCATGCCTACATCTCTTTGGTGCCTTGAGGATAGTGAGATGCATAGTTATATATATGTACTGTATATATTTATATATATATATGAATGTATATATATATAAAATATTGCAAGCTTGAGTTTCCAATTTCCCAAACAATACAAAAAACAAATTACACACCATCACCACTGTTCTTATCTCTATAGTGATGAGACATTAATTAGGAATCCTGCTGTTTTTCTTTTTCTACACAAATTTCTCATTAAAGCCAGAGAATGATTGATACGGCAGCTGTTTGAGGACAGGTCTCATTTTCACATGAGGGCTTTAAATGAATTAGAAACTATTTGAGGCTATAAAAATGTCCTTGAGTTTGGAGCCTGCGCTCTGGTGAAATGCTGATACATCTGATCTATCATGGGAATTGCAATTAGCGAGAGGAGGGAAAACCATTTAGTCATCTACCCTTTCTTCACTCAACAGGAATATGAAAGACACATGTTTTAGTGGAATACCTAAAGGTTTTCCTAAATTCCAACATTTAAAAGGCAATTGTGGGCTATTTTTATTTTTTAATATTTTGAAATAAAGTTTAGTGTCTAGGGCTGGGAGCCAGGACTGATCTTTCATTTCTTTTTCTTTGTTCCCAGCCATGCTTTTGTAACTTGCCAGATGGACTTGACCAACTACATTACTACCATGCTGTGCCTCAGTTTACCCATTTGTAAAATGGGATTAACAATACTTACCTACCTCACAGGGGTGTTGTGAGGCTCTATGCATTTGCTCCTTTATTCTTTCCTGTATTCTCTGTATGTCCAGCACTTTGTAGCCATGGGAGGAAAGGGACTATAAAAGTGTCCAATGTTAAAAGGAATGATACGGTACCTGGAAGCCTTGTTTTCTAGTAAGGAAATGCTACCTTGCTGTACATACTTATAACCTTGTATTTGGAAATGAGAAATAGGTTTATATTTTCAGATCTCTCAAAAATCACATCATTTGACCAAAGAATAATTTAAGACACATAGAACAGAATATTTTTAATTTATATTTTCATCCTGACCAGCTTAGTTCTGATAACTTTCAGTTGTGAGTAATTAAAAAACTTTGGATCAATTTTGGTCAAATATGCCAACTTTGGACTCTGAGTGACAGACAAGGATTTTTGGGTTTAAGATGCACTTTTAGCACATATTAGTATTTCCCTTGGCATATCAGATTGAGCTAAGGGTGATGTTATTTCAGTCTAACAGCCACCAATCTGAAAGTGTATTTTAAATGTTGATTCTGCAGTTCTTTAAATAATAATGAAGCTCATCTTATACATTTTGCTTTCACCAATTGATTCTCTCTTCTTTTAACCTACTATTAAAACATTTCTTATTGAATGATTTAAGTAGGCTTGCTGAACAGCACACGTTACATGCTTCCTGAAGAGTTTCTACATTCATCCATCTGTCCCATTAGCTGCTGTGGAGTATAATCCAAGAAAATGGTGAACTTGGGAGGTTTGGAGTTTGGAGAGAATGGCTAAGAAGATCTGAATTATTGGGAGGGAACAGAAATCATACATGAACAGGTTCTACTGAGAAGGGGGAAATCTTAGCTAGAGGGACATGTGAAATGAAGTCATTTGAAATTTTCATTTGGACATCCATTTCCAGTGGTAAACAGCAAAGCCTGAACCCACAAACCCAAATGATAGGTGAAATTGGGGGGTTCTATCCAATGTTTCTCGCAAGTGACGTCTGGGAATATCACAGAGTAACCAGTGCTGGTCAGCCAAAGTAACATTCACTGCTGGTGAACCAATACCACAAGCATCTATTATCTAAGCACTTGATCAAGAAGTATACATGTAGTACAGGCTCTCAATTTTGTTCATTTATTGTTGATTTTTAAAAATACAAGTTTGGTATGTGATTTGGAGAAGAAGCCATCTGGATCTTAAGCCAGTTGTCAGTGGAGGGCTTCAGGGCCACAAACATCAAGACATATCCCTGTTCCTCGCCATCATGATACTAGATACAGGTGAATACATAGGAACTGTCTGTGTCCTCAGTCTCCCTCCACACAAGATGCTGATTTGAAGGGTACTTCGCAGGTTAAATTAAACCAGAAGAGGTGACTTAATAAAAAAGGGAATGACATTTAGGTTATAAAGATCTCATAAGAAATATAATATGTAAATTATATCTTGCTTTATGTTGTAAAATATACATTGTTTGCGCTAGAATAGAAATGATTTCTTTTCAATAAAAAGAAAGAAGGATATGACCATGTCTTTTGTTATATACATTTGAGCCTATGGATGCTTTTCTCTTTGAACTTCAGAAACACAGATCTGCTAGGATCTGAGATTACATGCAGAAGAGTGAAGGTAAGAAGGGCTTATAGACAAGAGAACTTTATCTGAGTGTGATATTATTTTCTATGAAACAGGAAAATAATCTATTTTTCTTCAGAAACAAAGACAATGGTCAGAGGAAGAGAGGACATTTATTATTATAATACATGAGAGTAGGGTGGAACTTTTTTAAGAGTTTAGCATTTTAAAAATCAATATCTTTAGCATTCACAATACCAGACACCATATTAAAAAAAATCTTCATATAAGCATGGCTGTTTGTTTTGGAGTAAAGAAATAGAAAACTAAAAGTTCTTAAGAATCCATTGTGTGTAGCATGGGGTGTGTGGTCATGGGGAGGACAGAAAAGACAAATTGTGAGACATAGATTCTGTTTTCATCCCAATTAAAATCTGGTATAAAAAGCAACTCTAGCATGTAAAAATATGCAACAGTTCAAGGTAATATATTAATAAGTATCAAACAGTATAGATAAAAGAAGTTCAGAGGAGGAAGAAAGAACATACTGTGAGCTGAAGTGGGAAACAGGTTTTACAAAAGAACTGGGACTTAAATCTTATCATTAAGGATCTGGACAGGTAAAGAACAGGTGATGGCCTTTCAAATGAGGGAGTGGAGAAGAAGGGGTGAAGGCAGGGATATAGGAATGGGGAATTTGTCTTCAGAGATGTATGGCAAGATGGACCTGGAAGAGACGGAGAGTTAATTTTAAAGTTGAGTAGAAGAAAATACTAGAGATCAAAGTTGAGCCTGAATTTTGCAGGGAACTGCATGTCAGACAAAGATGTTTGGACTTTTCCTCAGGCCACAGAGATACATTGAAGGCTTTTGAGCAGAAAAAAAAAAGCCATGTGAAAAAAAAATGCTACTGTTAAAGGATTATTCTGGTAAAAGAATGAAGGTAAACTAGAGCAGAACAGGAACTGGAAGCAGATCAGATAGAGGTTGCTGCAAGGGAAACAAAAAACAAAGGATGAATAGGAATCATCTTACAATAAAAGAATCACTGGGACATCATAGCAAGAATAATAGAATGGAATCAAAGGTAATGTTTGTTTGAAACCTGAGGACTCGGAAAACGAATCACTGACAAAACTGACAAAATCTACCCCAAATGGGAAAGACACAGCTACAGAAGATAAGTGCAATTTTCGTTGTATTATTGAAGCTGAAAATTCTAATGTAAGCATCCATTAAGTGAAGACAAAAATGGAACTCGGTATCAAAGTCAAAGATGGAGATATGAGTTTGAAATTAATCTTTAAGGAGGTGATACTTTGAGGTATAAGAACAAATGGGTTCATTGAAATGAGAGAGCACTATTGTGACTCAAATAATTATTCCCAGTACATGGCTTTTGAAAGTAGTTTCAAAAGGAAGGATGATTATACTTTGAAGAACATCTCTGGTCAGGGAGACGGCTAACAAAGTCTATTTAAAAGAAGCTCTTTGAAAAATAGGAGGAGATTCAAGCTTATTTATTATTCCAGAGTTAAGAGAGGTTTTCAAAAAGAAGGGAATGTTTAACATATTCAAATGCTGTAGAGAAGATCAGCTAATGGGAATGGAGGAAAGACCATTGGATTCATAACTTTCAAGAGTACCTTTTACCAGAGTGCTGGTGGAAGAAGGTTGATTTACCAAGTTATGGTAGGAATAAATGTTTTTTAAAAAATAGAACCACTTGCTTGGCATTATAAGCTTATTAATAAGGATTCTTTCAGTTGCAGGTAGCAGAAACTTATCAAACTAGTCAAATTTATAAAGAGGCTTTACTTGAAGGATAGCTCACCCAGCCAAGATGTGCTGCCAGAGCCAGGACAGCCCCAGGGATCCTAGACCCTGGAAAAAAGCCTCCTCCTGTTTTTATCAAGTTGGGCTGCTATAACAAGATACCATAGACTGGTAGCTTTAAAAACACATATTTATTTCTCATTGTTCTGGAGGCTGGGAAATCTAAGATCAGCAGGCTGGCAGAATCGTGTCTGCTGAGGGCCCTTCCTAAGACAGCTATTTTCTTGTGGCCTCCCATGGCAAAAAGAGTGAGTTCTAGTTTCTTTCTCTTATAAGGACACCAATTCCATTATGGTGGCTCCACCCTCATGACCTCAGCTAAGTATAATTACCCCCAAAGTCCCTACCCACTAGTAATACCCGATTGGGGGCTGAAGTTTCAACATATGAATTTAGAGGGTACACAAACATACAGTCCTTTTAAGGTAAGTGTATTAGTCTGTTGTCACACTGCTAATAAAGACATACCTGAGACTGGGAAATTTATGTGAAGGAGTGAAGTTTAGTGGACTCACAGTTCCACAGGGATGGGGAAGACTCATGGTGAAAGGTGAAGGAAAAGCAAAGTGATGTCTTACATGGTGTCAGGCAAAAGAGCTTGTGCAGAGGAACTCCCATTTATAAAACCATCAGATCTTGCGGGACTTATTTACTACCATGAGAACAGTAAGGAGGAGACCACACACATGATTCAATGATCTCCACCTGACCCCACCCTTGACACATGGAAATAATTACAACTTGAGGTGAGATTTGGGTGGGACACAGTCAAACCATGTCATTCCACCCTTGGTCCCTCCCAAATCTCATGTCCTCACATTTCAAAACCAATCCTGCCTTCCCAACAGTCTCCCAAAGTCTTAACTCATTTCAGCATTAACTCAAAAGTTCAAGTCCACAATCTTCTCTTGGACAAGGCAAATCCCTTCCACTTATGAGCCTGTAAAATCAAAAGCAAGTTAGTTACTTTCTAGATACAATAGAGGTAGAGGCATTAGGTAAATATACCTGTTCCAAATGGGAGAAATTGGCCAAAACGAAGAGGCTACAGACCCCATGCGAATTCAAAATCCAGCAGTATAAAGCTCCAAAATGACCTCCTTTTACTCTATGTCTCACATCCAGTCACACTGATGCAAGAGGCGGGCTCCCATGGCCTTGGGCAGCTCTGTCCCTGTGGCTTTGCAGACTACAGCTCCCCTCCTTGCTGCTTTTTCACAGGCTGGTCTTTAGTGTCTGCAGCTTTTTCAGGTGCACAGTTCAAGCTGTCAGTGGATCTACCATTCTGGGGTTTCGAAGATGGTGGTGCTCTTCTCACAACTCCACTACATAATGCCCCACTCTGTGTGGGGGTTCCCACTCCACATTTCCCTTCTGTACTGCCCTAGCAGAGGTTCTCCATGAGGGCTCTGCCCCTGCAGCACACCCATGCCTGGATGCCCAGGCATTTTCATACATCCTCTGACATCTAGGTGGAGGTTCTCAAACCTCAATTCTTGAATTCTGTGCACTCGCAGAACCAACACCACCTGGAAGCTGCCAAGGCTTGGGGTATGCACCCCCTGAAGCCACAGCCCAATTTGTATCTTGGTCCCTTTTAGCCATGGCTGGAGTGGCTGGGATGCAGGACACCAAGTCCCTAGGCTGTACACAGCAAGGATGTCCTGGGCCCAGCCCATGAAACCATTTTTTCCTTCTGTGCCTCCAGGCCTGTGATGGGAGGGGCAGCTGTGAAGGTCTCTGACATGCCCTGGAGACGTTTTCCCCATTGTGTTTGTGATTAACATTTGTCTTCTTGTTATTTATGCAAATTGCTACAACCAGCTTGAATTTCTCTTTAGAAAATGGGTTTTTCTTTTTTATTGCATCTTCAGACTGCAAATCTTCCAAACGTTTATGCTCTGCTTCCTCTTGAACACTTTGCTGCTTAGAAATTTCTTCTGCCAGATGCCCTAAATCATTTCTCTCAATTTCAAAGTTCCAAAAATCTCTAGGGCAGGGGCAAAATGCCACCAGTCTCTTTGCTAAAACATAACAAGGGTCACCTTTGCTCCAGTTCCCAACAAGTTTCTCGTCTCCATCTGACACCACCTCAGCATGGACTATATTGTCCATATCACTATCAGCATTTTGGTCAAGGCCATCCAACAAGTCTCCAGGAAGTTCCAAACTTTCCCACATCTTCCTGTCTTCTTCTGAGCCCTCTAAACTGTTCTAACCTCTGCCTGTTACCCAGTTCCAAAGTTACTTTCACATTTTTGGGTATCTTTACAGCAATACCTCTCTCTACTGGTACCAATTTAGTGTAATAGTCTCTTCTCATGCTGTAAATAAAGACTATCTGAGATTGGGAAATTTACAAAGGAAAGATGTTTTGTGGAACTCACAGTTCCACATGACTGGAGAGGCCTCACAGTCATGGTGGAAGGCAAAGGAAGAGCAAAGGGATGTCTTACATTGTGGCAAGCAAAAGAGCTTGTGCAGGAGAACTCCCATATATGAAACCATCAGATCTCATGAGACTTATTCACTACCACGAGAGCAGTATGGTGGAAATCATCCATATGATTCAATTATCTCCACTTGGTCCTACCCTTGACACATGGAGATGATGATGATGGTGATGATGATGATGATTATTATTATTATTTGAGATGGAGTTTTGCTCTTGTTACCCAGGCTGGAGTGCAATGGCGTGATCTCGGCTCACCACAACCTGTCTCCTGGGTTCAGGCAATTCTCCTGCCTCAGCCTCCTGAGTAGCTGGGATTACAGGCACGCACCACCATGCCCAGCTGATTTTTTGTATTTTTAGTAGAGACGGGGTTTCGCCATGTTGACCAGGATGGTCTTAATCTCTTGACCTCATGATCCACCCGCCACGGCCTCCCAAAGTGCTGGGATTACAGGCTCACACTGTGCCCGGTCCATGGAGATTATTAAAATTTGAGGTGAGATTTGGGTGAGGACACAACCAAACCATATAAGTTCTTACCCTTCTATCAGGCAAGGCCTGTGTACCATACCCTGAGCCTTACCTATATTCCTCTGACCGTGTCTCTCCCCTGAGAAAAGAATTTATGGGGCCACCTGCATGTGCACCCCTGCAGCCTAC